GGCCTACAGAGGGCAGCACTGAATGCCGCGAAATATGAACTAGTCAGAGCAGACGGCTAGGCTGTGTGCTCTGACAGTACAGGCTGTCTACAGTGTTTATTATATAATTCTGAAAAAATATCATAGATGGATTAATGAAAATGTGTATATTAATGTAATATACAACATTTAAATGAGATTCGGTGATTATTATCATTACTAATATGACGTCTCGAGACAAGGCACTGATTTTAATGTGTACCAGCACAGCACAGTATGTAAGTTTATTTAGGTACAGGTATACATAAGTATAATTATCAGAGTAGATATAAAATATGAAATAACTTTTAAAAACACTTGAAATTTTGTTGTTTCCAGACAAAATGGAGAGACTTAGTGCTTACGGATCTCACGGAGAATGTAAACAAACCGGGTTGGGTGCAGTGACCGTATTAGAAAGTCAAGTGGGGGGAGCTGTATAGCAAGTTTCGGTCATAATTTGAAATGACCGTATTAGCGGAATGCCGTAAAGCAAAATGCCGTAAAGTGGGGCCCTACTGTATATAACTATGGACCCTTAGTATGCAAGCCAGTCTTTGGTACAGTACAGTAATGTACATACAGTGGACCCCCACATAACGATATTAATCCGTTCCTGAGAGCTCATTGTTATGTGAAATTATCGTTATGCGAATGAATTTTCCCCATAAGAAATAATGGAAATCAAATTAATCCGTGCAAGACACCCAAAAGTATGAAAAAAAAATTTTTACCACATGAAATATACATTTTCCTACACACAAAGAGAAGGATACATGCACAATAGTAGAGTAGTACATGCACAATATATATTGTGCATGTACTACTCTACTAAATGAAGAATAAATGACACTTACCTTTATTGAAGATGCAGCAATGACTGATGAGACACTGTGTCCTGGGAGTGCCTTTTAATCCTGAGTACTGTAGGTCTTGTTTGGCATTTTCTTCCAGAACATGCCTTATCACACTGTGTATGCCACTACGATTCTTAAATCTCTCAAACCAACCTTTGCTGGCTTTAAATTCACCAATATGAGCACTAGTTCCAGGCATTTTTCCCTGTTCACCTGGGTGTTAGTCGACTGGTGTGGGTTGCATCCTGGGAGACAAGATTAAGGACCCCAATGGAAATAAGTTAGACAGCCTTCGATGACACTGACTTTTTTGGGTTATCCTGGGTGGCTAACCCTCTGGGGTTAATTGTTTCTTGGTATTCTCAATAAGCCACACCAACAACGGTGCTACAGCAGCAGCAGCAGCAGCAGCTGACAGTGCTACAGCAGCAGCTGACAGTGCTACAGCAGCAGCTGACAGTGCTACAGCAGCAGCAGACGGTGCTACAGCAGCAGCAGACGGTACTACAGCAGCAGCAGCAGCTGACGGTGGTACAGCAGCAGCAGCAGCTGACAGGTAACTAACAGTGCTACAGCAGCAGTAGACGGTACTACAGCAGCAGCAGCAGCTGATGGTGGTACAGCAGCAGCAGCAGCAGCTGACGGTGGTACAGCAGCAGCAGCAGCTGACAATGCTACAGCAGCAGCAGCAGCTGACAGTGCTACAGCAGCAGCTGACAGTGCTACAGCAGCAGCAGACAGTGCTACAGCAGCAGCAGACGGTACTGCAGCAGCAGCAGCTGACGGTGGTACAGCAGCAGAAGCAGCTGATGGTGCTACAGCAGCAGCAGCAGCTGACAGTGCTACAGCAGCAGCTGACAGTGCTACAGCAGCAGCAGACGGTGCTACAGCAGCAGCAGACAGTACTACAGCAGCAGCAGCAGCTGACAGTGCTACAGCAGCAGCTAACAGTGCTACAGCAGCAGCAGACAGTGCTACAGCAGCAGCAGACGGTACTACAGCAGCAGCAGCAGCAGACGGTACTATAGCAGCTGACAGTGCTACAGCAGCAGCAGCATCAGCAGTTGACCATGGTACCACAGTATTTCGATAATATTTCTCGCCCTTTTTACCACAGGGTTGGCACTAGAAGCTTTCTTGGGGCCCATGGTCACTTATTTTGCAGATAAAATCACCAAAAACACTGTAATAATATGAAATGTTCCGATTGTATGCTTGGATGTTACCGCGGAGGCTGGCTGGTAAACAATGCTACCGGCGGAACATGTGAGGCTGGCTCAGGCCACACATTAGACGCGTCTCGGACGAATAGCATTGAGCAGGTTCTTTAGCGGTATGCGAGGCAAAATCTTAGCGATAAAATGTATCGGCATGCGGATTTAACGTTATGTGATGCCAACGGTATGCGGGGGTCCACTGTAGTCATCTGGTGTAGCTCTGGTTAGTTATTTATTTTGTGCAATCTGGCTAAGAAATGTGGATTTTTAACTCTTTGACTGTCGCAGGCCCCTTTCTGAAACTGTCATTCTATGTCGATAAATTAAAAAAAAAAAAAAAAAATTCTTATGAAATGATAGAGAATCTTTTCCCGATGGTAATGACACCAAAAGTATGAAATTTGGTCAAAAACTCACGGAATTACGCTCCTGCGAAGTTAGTGGTCTCAGCGACATATACGTATCAGCGATTTTGCTGACTTTGAGCCGTTTTTGGCCAATTCCATTGTTCCAGTCAACCAAACTCATAGCTATTTCTTTAGAACTCCATTTTATCTATCTGTTGAGTACAAGAAACTGCCCATTTACAGATTTTAACTACCTAATAAAGTGGTGTCAGAAATTGGCAATTTGGCCAATTTCACACAAATTAAAAAAGATGCCAATTTCAAAATAGGGTCCCGAATAAACAATGTAGAAATTCTTGGCACTAAAATAACATTTCCTCTGTTCATTAGTCACATCTCTAGGCCCCTCTTATATTACTATTGCTTTCTATTTTGATTTTTTATTCATACAAAAAAATACAAAATTTACTGGCATGCAGACTACTGCATTATTGTAAAAATGGTATAAATAATATAAGAGCACTAGTGAAAGAATATCAGACTCCCCAGTTGACATGTATTGGACTTGTGGTGTGATTTGCTTACTCCTGAACATTGGTAAAACTCAAACATTTCCGCTACTTTGAGCTCAATTTCAAGGTCGTTTTCATCGTGAAAGTAATCAAAATCATCTCTATTTCTGTAATATGTTTTCCATTTTATCACTTGAGACCATGAAAACGAGAATACAACGATAATTACTATATGAAAATACACATCAAATTCGGCGTTTTAATCCAAAAAAACGGTCAGTTTTTTTTTTCTCATTACGCACTGCGTGCTGCAGGATTTTTTTATGTGGTGCACACTGACCACACAGACCCATTCTCTCACATGTGGGCCTACCAGCTTTCTCCCGCTTGATTTGAAGCCGCTAGAATTTGCGCGTATTAATACGTCAGAAACAGTGGCGCGTAAGATGTATATATACGGCGTAAACAGTAAAAGGGTTAAATCATGTGTAGGAAAGAGGTTCAGGTATTTTTCCAGTTTTTTATTAATTACAATGGTGTGTTAAATTAAATTACTGAAAGTGACATTATTCAAACTGCATCCTGTATCCAGCCAAAGCTCTGCTCCATATAGTCAAGATAATTAAGCATCCAGTGATTTCAGTTGTGACTGAACCATCTCATAAGTGATACATAACGTGTCACCTGTTTCAAAGCAGTTAAGGATGCTTAGGATGTATCTATTTGCTTCTACTCATCAGGAGACTTTAGAAGCAACCCCATGCTCATTTACCCATCATAAATGTTACCTTGTTCACATTCTAACAGCACATCAAGTAATATAAACCACTTGCCTCCACTCTTGTGTAACACACTTGCACACAATGAAAGCAAAAGACTCGGCAGACGATGCAACATCCCCCCAATGAAAAGCAGGGGTGTCACTAGCACATTAAGAGACAATACAATAAGTGTCAGGGGCCCGAGACTGTTCAACTGCCTCCCAGCATACATAAGAGGGATTACCAATAGACCCCTGGCTGTCTTCAAGCAGGCACTGGACAAACACCTAAAGTCGGTACCTGACCAGCTGGGCTGTGGCTCGTACGTTGGATTGTGTGCAGCCAGCAGTAACAGCCTGGTTGATCAAGCTCTGATCCACCAGGAGGCCTGGTCACAGACCGGGCCGCAGGGGCATTGACCCCCGGAACTCTCTCCAGGTAAACTCCTATTGGATGCCTAAGCCCTTTGCACACAAAACCGCCTTTACCCTCTCCCTCCAACCTTTTCTAGTATGACCCCTACCCTTCCACCCTCCGCTACAGATGTATACGTCCTCCAAGTCATTCTATTTTGCTCCATTCTCTCTAATGGATATGACAACATACTGAACATTCAGTGGCATTATGATATTAAATGGTATATAACTTTAGTCACTAATTATACTGTACTATACAGAACTAAGTACAGCCTCTCCTCACTTAACAATGCACTTGTTTACCGACGACTCGGACTTATGGCGGGCTCTCTGACCAGTAGCATACCTAAATGTATATTAGAGCTGATTTCCTCTATTCTGTTTATTACAATATAGAGTACACTACTATACAGTGGTACCCTGAGTTTCGTACAGCTCCCAACTCAAACAATTATGTAAGTTTATATTGTAAGTGCTTTTGTAAGTGTATTTTTGGGGTCTGAAATGGACTAATCTAATTTACATTATTCCTTATGGAAACAAATTGGTTTGGTACCAGCACTCAAACAGCCTTCTGGGATGAATTATGGCCGAAACTTGGGGTACCACTGTTTAATTAAAAATATACTAAAAATGTTATAAATGATGCAAAGATGACATTAAAACAATATCAAAGATGGTTGACACAAACTCACTACCATTACAGTATGCTTCTCACTTAGCGCCGAATTTGTTTACCGACATGGTCTTAGGAACGGAACTCCGTTGTTAAGTGAGGAAAGGCTGTATCTATTGAGGTTAGTGTTAAACGTACAGATTACAAGCACTGCATCTGCATGGAATTATGTTACCAATCATAATATTTAACATACAATAATGCCATACTGCTGAAGAAGTAAGTCTCTATGGATTTCTTCTTCACCACGAATCAGATCCAACCTCTTCATCATCTTAGGAGGCCGGATAGAACCTGGATACTGGGGAACTTTGTTCAGAAAACGTAGCTTCTGTCGCTCTTTTGGAATTTCTATATCTGTGGGTTGGAGTTAATTGCAATAAATATTAAAGGAAATTAAAAAAATGTGCATATATGTATGCTGAATAACAACATGATAATAATAATAATCATAATAGTGGGAAGGTGGGGTATGGGTCATCCTGGGAAATGTTGGAGGGAGGGGGTAAAGGAGGTTTTGTGTGTATGGGGCTTAGATATCCAGCAAGCGTATGTGAGCACATTAGATAGGAGTACAGGCAAATGATTTTTATGACTATGTTATGTCTGAGTGTGAGCAAGGTAACATTTATGAAAGGATTCAGGGAAACTGGTAAGCTGGACTTGAGTCCTGGAGGCGGTAGTACAGTGCCTAAACTCTGAAGGAGGGGTGGGGATATCTGCAGTTTTGAAATGTATCAGCATCCCTATGGCAAGACAGTGGAGTGAGTGAGTGCTGGTGAAAATGTTTCTTCTTATTTAGGGTCACCTTACTTGGTGGGAGACGGCTGGTTTGTAAAAAAAAAAAAAAAATAATAATTGTGCGCATGCATGTGTGTACAATACGTATGTACAGAATGTATATACAGAATGTACCATGTATGTACAGAATGTACCATGTATGTACATGGCCAGAAGTACTATCCTTGTCCTACAAGCTAGGTATGGAAGACATATTGATACAGTCAGTAAAATTTCTTTTGAAGAATGTATCTTAGCACTTGAAGATTCTATTAAAATATTTAGTGTACTGCAGAGAATCTCTTATCACAACAGGTAAGTCATTACAGAAAAGGAAATAGAGTACAAGCAAGGGCTTTTCTTACCATCATAAGTAGGAGGAACTGGAAAATTCTTGTAACCAGCTATCTGCACAACTGAAGTTGCTGAAAGTAAAGATATTTCCTTCATTATGAAGGTCTGTTTACCACAACATATTGCATGATAATTTTACAAACTGTGAACTATAACTTGGTCAAATATTGTACTTCTTGCACAGCCCATCAAAGAGTTTAACTACTTCTTCTTCTCCTCTTAAGTACCAGTATGTATTTGCAGACAAAAGACCTGTTACATGCTCAAGTCTCTGAACTTTGAACAGCTGTAATAATTTTTTTTAATGCTGAGGTCTGCCCAAGGCTTAGTAATGGTTTAAAAAGGAACATTAAGTGAAATTTTAACCATAACTACCTTCAACTGCACAGTGACCACACTAAGATCTCATGTTTACAGTTACATGACTACAGCAGCAGCATCCACCATTTTCCCGTCAAATACTGTACATCATTTTCATTCAATACTCATCAGGTGTGATGAAGCTATAGTCAGAGCTTATACAAGTATTATGCCATGCAGATTTCAATGGTTTATGTATAAATACAATACTATGTAATTATTATTTGGTACAGCAGTAACCAAGTCTAAGTCTAAGTCTAAGTCTAACTCTGCCAGAAATCTCCAGACCCACTGGCTCAGCTAGCATTTTTAAAACTATTAAAAATCACCTTATCTCCTTAACCTATCCCAGCCCATCATAAATACATATGTAAAAACTATACATGCATTTGCTCAATATCACGAACATTGGTAAAACTTTCTTATCAATATAATTAACATATACTTATTCTCAATATCTGTATTCATCTCAAATGTTAATCACTCCATTGTGTCCACCTCAGATTAATAATCAAAATTGTACATCTTCTCTACAAGACTTATTAAAGCCATACAGCATGACCTAATAGAAGTCAATTCTCTTGTATTCAATGTAACTAATCTAATGACCATATGTATTGTTATTGCTTTATTAATCTTAAGTTAGTTTTAAGTTTTTCCAAAATGCTCTACATATAAAGGGGCTTTTGGCATGTACACCCAACTACAGTGGACCCCCGGTTAACGAACTTTTTTCATTCCAGTAGTATGTTCAGGTGCCAGTACTGACCGAATTTGTTCCCATAAGGAATATTGTGAAGTAGATTAGTCTATTTCAGACCCATAAACATACACGTACAAACGCACTTACATAAATACACTTACATAATTGGTCGCATTTGGAGGTGATCGTTAAGCGGGGGTCCACTGTATTATATTCCTTTGTATAAACATGTATCAGGTCAAAATAAAATATTATTATTATTATTTTTATTATTAACACACTGGCCGTCTGCCACCATGGCAGGGTGGTCCGAGAAAGAAAAACTTTCATCATTCACTTCATCACTGTCTTGCCAGAGGTGCACTTACATTAGAGTTATAAAACTGCAATATTAACACCCCTCCTTCAGAGTGTAGACACTGTACTTCCCATCTCCAGGACTGAAGTCCGGCCTGCCGATTTCCCTGAATCCCTTCATAAATGTTACCTTGCCCACACTCCAATAGCACGTCAAGTCGTAAAATCCATTTGTCTCCATTTGTTCCTGTCTAACACACTCACACATGCTTGCTGGAAGTCCAAACCCCTCGCACATAAAAACCTCCTTTACCCCTCCCTCCAACCTTTCCTAGGCCGACCCCTACCCCTTATATGCACGAGCCTATTGCCAGCTTAATTGTCTTCAACTCCCTACCCTCATCGAGGATATATATACTGAAAGGTGTCTCTTAGTGTATATGCACTTTCAGAGTTTACTGTAATCCCTGTTTTAGGGGTTAAAGAATTTTTGAGTGGTTGAAGACAAGTTACATGCAGCCTTAATGACCCTAGGGTAGTCAATTGGCTGCACACCTGTTTAGGTGTACTGTAAATAATGGCGGCGGTGGTGGCTGCTGCTGCTGCTGCTGGTATTGGTGGTATTGGTGGTGGTGGTGGTGGTATTGGTGGTGGTGGTATTGGTGGTGGTGGTATTGGTGGTGGTATTGGTGTGGTGGGTGGTAATTGGTGGTGGTGGTGGTGGTACTGGTGGTGGCAGTGGTGGGTGGTGGTGGTGGTATTGGTGTGGTGGTGGTATTGGTGGTGGTGGTAGTGGTGGTATTGGTGGTGGTGGTATTGGTGGTGGTGGTATTGGTGGTGGTGGTATTGGTGGTGGTGGTATTGGTGGTGGTGGTATTGGTGGTGGTGGTACTGTGGTGGTGGTGGTACTGGTGGTGGTGGTGGTATGGTGGTGGTGGTGGTGGTATTGGTGGTGGTGGTGGGTGGTATGTGGTGGTGGTTTGGTGGTGGTGGTGGTGGTATGGGTGGTGGTGGTATTGGTGGTGGTGGTGGTGGTGGTGTATTGGTGGTGGTGGTATTGGTGGTGGTGGTATTGGTGGTGGTGGTGGTATTGGTGGTGGTGGTTGTATTGGTTGTGGTGGTATTGGTGGTGGTGGTATTGGTGGTGGTGGTAGTATTTGTGGTATTGGTGGTGGTGGTATTGGTGGTGGTGGTGGTAGTAGTAGTAGTAGTAGTAGTAGTAGTAGTAGTAGTAGTAGTAGTAGTAGTAGTAGTAGTAGTAGTAGTAGTAGTAGTAGTAGTAGTAGTAGTACTATTAGTAGTAGTACTATTAATAGTAGTATTATTAGATAGTATTATTAGTAGTAGTATTATTAGTAGTAGTATTATTAGTAGTAGTATTATTAGTAGTAGTATTATTAGTAGTAGTATTATTAGTAGTAGTATTATTAGTTGTAGTATTATTATTAGTAGTATTATTAGTAGTAGTATTATTAGTAGTATTATTAGTAGTAGTATTAGTAGTATTTATTATTAGTAGTATTTATTATTAGTAGTATTTATTATTAGTAGTATTTATTATTAGTAGTATTATTAGTAGTATTAGTAGTAGTATTAGTATTAGTATTAGTATTAGTATTAGTATTAGTAGTAGTATTATTAGCAGTATTATTAGTAGTATTATTAGTAGTACAGTGGACCCCTGGTTAACGACATTTTTTCATTCCAGAAGTATGTTCAGGTGCCAGTACTGACCGAATTTGTTCCCATAAGGAAAACTGTGAAGTAGATTAGCCCTTTTCAGACCCCCAAACATCACGTACAACGCACTTCAAAAAACACTTCAAAATTTGGTCGCATTGGGAGGTGATCTTTTAAGGGGGGGCCACTGTATTATTAGTATTTTTGTTTTATTAGTAGTTTTAGTATTTTATAGATTAGTTTTTAGTATTAAATTTTGTTTTATTATATTAGTATTATTAGTATTAGTATTATTATATTAGTATTTTATTAGTATTAGTATTTTTATTAGATAGTATTTATTTTAGTAGTATATTTATTATTAGTATTTATTTTGTTATTATTATATTATTTTTTAAATATTATTATTAGTACGTATTATTATTAGTATTATTATTATGTATATTATATATTATTAGTATTATTAGTATCATTACATTTATGGGAAATGTAAACCAGGGGGTCTATAGAACCAGGAGGCAATCAAGTCTATTTAGCACAGAGGCTAGAGCTAATTCCCTGAACAGAGCCCTGCACTGGATCATTCGGGTGTTCCATCCTTAGCAGACAAGAAAAATCTTTCTTTGATTTCGGCAATCCTGATTTTAACCCAAAAACTGTCCAAGCAATCCGTTCACATGCGAAATGCCCAAAGTAGATCTGTTTTTTTTTAACATATTTTCAAATACAGTGGCCCCTCGCCCAAAACGAAAATTTTTCCCGTTCCTGAGAGCCATCTTAGCGAAATTATCTTTTAGTCGGGGTTAATTTTCCCCATAAGAAATAATGGAAATAAAATTTAATTCGTTCCGACCCCCCAAAGTATGAAAAAAAAAAATTTTACCCAATAAATAAAAATTTTAAACACCAAACTGAAAAGACATGACAATTACATGACACTTACCTTATTGAAGATCGGTGATGATTGATGGAAGGGAGGAGGGGAGTGTGGGATTGGTTATGTTTAGAAGGGGGAATCCCTTCCTTAGGACTTGAGGTGTCAATCCTTTTCGAGGGTTATTTTCCCTTTTTCTTTTAATCCCATAGGACCGCTTTAGTCACTGGACCTCTGAAACACAATATATCTGTCTATAGAGCTCTGTACCTCCTTTTTTTTAAGATTTTCTAAAAGGGGCCCCATAACATTGTCAGTGTACAGGTTCCAACCGGCTTGCAGTAGCTGTGTCAGGTATTTTCCAAAAAGGTTTGTACTTTAAGCCATATTGCAAACATTTCCTTAACTTTGAAGTGGAAAACTTCCTTGTTCTATCCCCTCCTCCGGAGCAGTTTCCACAGGTCGGGGTCTCTTGCGTTGAAGATGATCTTGCAGTCATCATGGTTAGTTCATCATTGTCGCTCCCCAAAATCTTCCACATCCCCCCCACTAACCTCCAACCCCTTTTCAATGATCTCTTTTTTCTATCCCTAGTAATTCTAACCCCTTTTTTCTGTAGGGTTGCACTGGAAAAAATTTTCCAAATTTAATTTAATTCGAATTTATTTTCTAAAAGATTTCAATGTTAAATTTTTCAGAATTTGGTTGTTGTGTGGTTTAATTATTTAAATAAAGATTACAGAGTTTACCACTAGAACGCCTAGCATGGCAGGCATTTCGGGCAACTTTGTTTAATTCTTTAATTTAAAATATTACAAATTTTGAGGTAGTTGGTATTAGGTAATGACAAATACTAGTTTGTGAGTTTTGCAATTGAATGCTTTTTTTTTTGGCACGTACATAGTTTCAGTTTTTGGGGTACTAGATTTATTATTTTGGGTTGGATTAAAATTTTGTTTATGGTCAAATGGGTGAGTGAGTGAAGTGGAACCACCCTGTATTTTGGAGTTAAAATTAAGGGGGTTTTTCCCGGGGGATAAAAGTTTTCTAATGGTAGTTTTGAAAGGGTGAAGGGGCTGCAGTTCTAGAGTTCTCAGGTAGGGGGTTCCCGATTTTGGGGCCTTTTTACTACATTGATTTTTGCAAAAGGGTTTAGTCGGACAGGGGAATGTCAAAGAGATGTTTGTGTCTGGGGTTTTGCCTGGGGTTCTGTCACAACATCAAGAAAGCGTTTT